ATATTAAGGAGCTCTGGTGGCATATTCCAGCAGAATGTATGATATATTATATTAATTGTATATCATTATGTAGGGTATTCCCAAGACTTTCTTAACTCAAGAACGATAAGAACAAGATAGAATTTAGCAAAATTGGTATTTGCGATGTATGTACACACCCACAGATATATAGCATATATGGAAACACATCTTATTAAAAAACTAATAGTGTGTAAATGTGTAAAATATTTAAACAGTTCAGCTGGATGCCAAGATGCTTTGTCCAAGTCATGTAGGCACCAAACGACAGTAAAATCACCTGCAGCTCAGTCTGTTGAATAACTGCCTCCCCCACCTCCAGGGGTGGTTTCTGGGTGAGGGCAGCTGTTTTCTTTAAGATTTGTCATTACTGACTTTAGGTTTCTTTTGGCAGCCTTTTGGCACTCGAAGCAGTGTGAACTCTATTCTGGGTGGTATTCACCTGTCTTGGGCAGGGAGTGGGGCTTATTTCGTCAGCTGGCTAGTCTGTGTGCATCTGCTCCATCCCCGTTTTGGGGTCAGTGCACCTTTTTTGTCTTTTCATGACCCTGACTAAAAGGAAAGGATGTCAGGGGAATGGAAATCCTGGAATGTGTCTGATCATTTGAAATGTACAAAATTGGGCAGATAAGCTGTGAGGCAATTGTTAGGAGGAGGGAGTGGACTGAAGACAGAGGTTGGGGAGAGATGTGGCAGACCCCTCAAGGAGCCAGCTCTGAGAGTCTGGATTCAGAATCCGGGAACCTTGACCAGGTCCCTTGAGTGAAACCTTTCCTTCAAGATTTCTGGGCAATTTACTGCCTGAAATAACTGGTGTAGACTTAATTTTGCATCTCTCTCCAGTTGTGTCCTCAGCGTGTCTTTCCTGTACCTCCCTCCCTTCTGGGCAAGGTGCAAAACAGGGGAAGCCCTTTCTAAACAGATGGTTATCCCAAATCGGCAGGTGAATCACCAGTCCAGACTAGAATCAGATTAGTCAGATTCTCTTACTTTGAGATTTTGGCCATTATCCAACTGAAAGCCACTTTGGTTGTGCTGACCTACTAAGTACCGTGGAGAGAGCCCAACCTTGATCTCTTATGGGCAATGTTTCTAAGAACTTCCTTGAAAGCAGTTCCAAGGGTGTTGATTAGTCCCTCCTCAGGCATTTGCTTCTCCTGCCTTTATATAAGCCTACTGAAGGCAAATAAGCCAGGAGGGTAAAGATAAAGTTGTGTTAAGAAGGTAAAACCTCAGAGTCCTTGCCCCTCTGCTCATGTTTCTTGCCGAAGGCAGGCTGTTTACTTGTTTCCATTGCCTCTGCTACCTCTGGTGCAAATTTATATCCTGAGCCTCTAAGGAAATGTCACCCACCCTGATCAGCTCTTTCTCTCTCTTTCTAGCTGTCCTGGGTGCCGAGCTCAGCACGGCCACTGAGAAGGAAGGTGACATCCCCGAGACCAGCACATCCTGGAGACCCCGCCGGTCCAAGCGCTGCTCCTGCTCATCCCTGAGGGATAAAGAGTGTGTCTACTTCTGCCACCTGGACGTCATTTGGATCAACACTGCCGGGTGAGTCTCTAGAGGGCATTGTAACTCTAAGAATTCATTAGCTTGCCCCACAGGCACTCAGAAGCTGGTTCCTAGAGTGACTTTTCTGAGGAGCTTTTGCCTTGCATTTGGGAGTTTGTTTTTCTGAGGACCTATGAATGCCCTGGTGTAGGCAGTTCCATTCTGTCCTTGAAAATAACAAGGGGACTTGGTTCTAGGCAACATGGGAGACTATGTTCTGTGACTGTGGACTCAGCAGAATTATTACAGCATAGATCGAGGGAGTGTGAAAGGTGCTGAGAAACTGTTGCATGTTTCAGAGGAAAAAATTTTCAGTGGGTAGGGTCTCCAGGGAAGGTTTTGTCAGTGAGATTGGCCTGGGTTTAGGGACTAAGTTGCCAAAGTTATATGTGGGTTACTTCAGTATGTGTTTCTTGTAGGAGGCTACCACCTTGAGGGGCAGAAGGGATTAAGGGGTAATAATGCAATCACTTCACTTAGAGAAAGCGAAAACCTCACGCAGCAAAGAGCTTGTGGCAGAGCTGGAACTAGAAGCTAGGTCATTCCCTCTGTCTTCTCTTCAGAAAAGTCCTGTTGCATTCCATAGCTCTATGTGCTACCACAAGGAAAATATTTCCCACCCTTCTCCATGAAACAGCTCATCTAAAGAAGGACACAGTTACTATGTATATATTTGCCCCCATGATGGAGATGGATGCTCAAAATCCAAACAAAATTAGATCAAACCAAACAAAAACACAGGGAGCCTGATCTTTAATAAGGAGCTGCTTCCAGCAGGGAGGGCTTTCTTTCTTAGGTGAAGGTTGAAAGGGACACATTGGAAATCGCACCATAGCCTCCTGGCTGGTAGCTTTTTAACAGACACAAGCTATCGCTAAATTGCAGGTAAAAAACCTTAATGGTACAGGGTTTAACAGCTAGAAAGTTAACAATTTCTCCATCCATTCCATGGGAGAAAGATGTGGCAATTTGCTTCCACAACATTGCAACCTTAGACACCTCATGGGCAGCTTTAGTCGGTCCTATGGGACCACTCAAAGTCTGAATTTTTAAACTATTCCATATAAATTACATATGATAATCTTAAAACAGACATGTAATTTTAACATTGCCACATAGAATTTAATTTGGGAAGCATTTTTATTCTGTGAGTAATGGTTTTACATTAAAGTCTCTTGCTCCTAATCCACCCCAACCCCAAACACACAGCAGTTAACTCAACAGAACATTTACTCAGTAACTCACTCCTTGCCTTGGAGTAGGAACAGACTTATAGCTGACCCTCCGGCAGATTTTTCAAGGTTGTAAATTGCAGGGGAGGACATTGCCCGACTTTCTTCCTCAGAGCAGCTGGTAGATTTGAACTGATAGAGAAGCAGCACTTCTGGGTTAGCAGTAAAAATTCCTACTTACTATGTTAAGGCAGGGGAGAGTAGTGTGTGTGTGTGTGTGGGGGGGGGGCGAGTAAGAAACAGATACCCATGCAGAGATGCAATAAATTTGGATAAAAAGTAATATTTGCATCAAGATAAGACTGAGCTTTCTTAAGGGTTGAAATAGAATTTCATTGAATTAGAAAAGCTGGGTTTCTCCAGGTTGGACACGTACTTGGGCCACTGAGCTGCTTGTGTCCCTGACACTTTGTTCTCAAGTTACACCACTGAGCACTGCCTCGTGCTCCCAGAACATAGAATGAGTGTATCCCAATGAATGTGCCATTTTGAAGACTATTAACTTTGCTCATATCATTTGTTACTCTCTTTTCATTGCAGACCCCTTGTTCCATATGGGCTGGGTGCCCTTTTTAGACGGAGACCAAAGCGATCCTTGAAGGATTTCTTTCATACAGAGGCCAAAGATTCCAGTAACAGATGCCAGTGTACTAGCCAAAGAGACAAGAAGTGCTGGAGTTTTTGCCAAGCAGGAAAAGAACTCAGGTGAGCAGAAGGGCTTCTGCCTCTCAATCAGCCTCCTGAATTCTTAACTGTAATGTTGCCTCTTCCAGAGCGATTTAGAGAAAAGTTGAGATCTAGGTGTAATCAAAGATAACCACTGCTGAATTTTTCTTTCCCCCTGTGTGTATTTTAACAGAGTCCAAGACACTATGGAGAAAGGCTGGAATGACCTTAAGAAAGGAAAAGATTGTTCCAAGCTTGGAGAGAGATGTTTTCATCAGAAGCTGGTGAAAGGGAAGAAGCTAAGAAGGTGAGGGGGCTTAGGAGCCTTTCTTGCTTTGATGGGGTAAAGATTTAAAGATAATAAAGAAGATGATATTCATCTTTTATAGACGAGGAAGAACAGAGACACCTTTCTTTTCTTAGAGACCCTGAATGCACATCACTGTCTGCTGCACACTTTAGTGACCTTGGCACACCTGTTACCCATACCTTAGCCCACTCATACTAAAGACTCATGTTCAAAGAAAAGTCTGTCTAGCATTCTTAGATTTCTGCTGTTTTTCATGCCCAAGTTTGCCTCTCTGAGTCTCACCACTATGCCAACTACAGACCATGAGAAACTGAAAATCCTTCAAGTTCTTCAAAGTGGCAGCTACTCAGGCAGCCAAGGGGAAGTGAAAACTTTCGGCAGGACTGACCTGATTTAGAGCATGCCATTACTGAAGGGCTTCTTTTGGGCTTTTTTAAACAGGGAAGAATATTTGGTGGCCAGCCAGTGTCATTCCAACAAGCTTCTGGTTTCCTCATCAGCTCTCATCTGGAGGCAGAGAAGGATCTAGATTAAGCAAGGCCATAGGGCTGTTATAAACCCTCCAGACACTGAATATTGTAGAATTTACAAGATCAGGGGAGGAACCCTTTTTTCAGATCTCTGCTATGTTCTCGATTTCCATAGAGACTTTTCCTGGAAATGCAGTGGCAAGAAGTTCTAGGATCAAAATGTTCTGAGCACATTGCTGGCAGTCATAGCCACTGTCTCAATTGTGTCCTGTCGTCTGTGGGGTGGCCTTCAGCTCTCTGTGACTGACACCTGCCACACTGCAGCTTCCCTGCCTGTGATCTAAAACCAGTAATTGTTCCCTCGGGCCACAGGATCATTGAAACCACACTTGGAAAGAATTATTGTCACTATTTTTCAATTAGTTTGTGTTAGGCTAGTTATTAAATTAGATTTGGTGGTTCTTTCCTTTTCCTGAAAAATAGAAAAAATGAATATACAGGCTTTTTAAAATTGCCACAGGACATTAGTTTTGAGATTACAAATATTTCTCCTTTTTTTTTAAAAAAAAATTCCCTTTGTTTTCCAGCTAAGGATCTATCAAGTTCTTCTATTATTTCCCATCTTCTGTAGTTAAAAGGAGACCTGTGACTATTTTAAATCTATGCTATTTGTCCATATGGACTATCACAGTAGTGGCAGGTGGGATGGGGCTACAAAGAAAAAGAAAATAACCCTTAGTTTATTTCAAACTTGTATTTCAAGCCCAAATTTCCTTAGGTACAACTATCCACCTGCTTCTCCCTGTCTCTGCATATCCTGTCTCCCTCCTCAGATCTATTCTGAGAATAAGAGTTGAGCTTTATTTTCATAGTGGTAAAAGATATCATTTGAGGTTTTATCAAAGGGTAGCTTGCTGTTGTGGTTAGTGGTGAAAGTTCAGGAGCCAGATTTAGACTGGTTTACACCAGATTCTAATTTTAGAGGTTTCTTTTGCCTGAAGTGATATTTCTTTTCTAACATTTGTTTTCTTTTATGCTGTTTTAATAGGTCAAAACCCATCAGCAACAGCATCAAGGCATCCTTCCGTCTTGCAAAGCTGAAAGCTGAGCTCTACAGGGAGAAGCAACTGATACACAACAGGACACACTGATTGCGGGCCACCAGGGCAGGTCTGAAGACAGGGCGTGGCTGGAGGACCATGGTGCAGCACTAATCTCCTTGCACTTGGCTGTGACTGGACCTAGAGCATCCTCCTGCTGACATCTCTGACCCAGACCTTCCAAGAACCATGTTTTTGTTCTCAACATTCCAAGAAAGGTTAAGGAGTCCCCCAGTCTATCTTCATTTGCTTCCATCAGTGCTGATTTCCTCTCTCCTGGTTGAATGCTGAGATTGGACAACCCCGGGGGGACAACGAGACAAAGGGGCACGTGCATTAGGGTAGTGCCCCTCAGAGGGAGGGTGGAGTTTCTGAAGAGCCCCTGACCCCCAGCGGGTGTTTGTTGTCTGACTTAGGCGTCTGGCACATTTCAGGGAGAAACACTTAAGTTCCATACAAAGATGTTTCTGAGGAATGCACAGATTGTAAACACTTGAAGAGCCAACCCTCTCGTAAAGGAAAAAAACAAACAAACCCAAAACACCAACAAAACTCAACAAACCAACCAGACTTTGTTTTCTAATTCATAAAATGAACAAAACTGAAACAAACTGTTACTACTGTAAATGGGGATATCTTTCCATCTACCTCACCTGTGTTGCACTCTGGCTGAAAGATGTCACCACCTGGTTTTGTCTTTAATTATTGTCTCCTGAGACTTACCCCTCCTGCCCTGGTAACCCTATACTAAACTCTCATCAGAGCCTGCTCTGGAGAGTTGATATATACAACATTTTCATGGTAATGTTGATATAACATTTTCATGGTAACTTTGATCCACAGAAGAAAAGGTCATGGAATCAGGTGACCTCCTACCCCTGATTTTTTTTTTTTTTAGAAACCTGTTGCTATAGGGTTGTTTATGGATGATATTGATAAGAAAATGTGGATTATGCTTTAAAGCAGTAAAATGATTTTCCTTCTATGTAACTGGTGAATGGAAGAGGCTGGATTAAATTTTGATGTCCTTATTTTTTTATAGATATTTATATTCAAGCAATTTATTCCTTATATTTACCATGTTAAATATGTCTGGGCTGGCCATATTGGTCTATGTATTTTTTTTATGTATTTCTGAATGAAATTGAAAAAAAATTGCTTTTCTTTTTTCTCCCTCTTTTGCCTGTCAAGGTAATGACTTTAGACAATAAATGGTTTTCCCGCTGCTGTGCGGATTTTGTGTGAAATTCCTAAGGAGACCTCGGTTGGGAAGAATCAGGAAGGGGAAGGATTCATGGTGGTGGTGTGGGGAAAGGAAAATGGGGATACAAAAGCAAAGCAGCTTTCGTATCTCTGTCTTCCCCTGTGTAGTAACCCTCCTCCTCCTTCACCTGAAAACCACCAGGGACTCTGGCCATTTACTTCTTTAGGCTGTTAGACAGGATCCAACAGTTTAAGTTGATGGTGTGGTGAGAGGTGCTTTCTCTACATTAATGGACCAGAGAAAGCAACAGGAAGACCCCCAAATTAGACACAGTTTGCCATCAGAGCTGCTTTTTTTGTTTGTTTGTTTTAATGAGTCTGTTTAGAGGAAGTAGGCAGTCCAGAGCCCTCCCCCCACCCCAACAACTTTCTATTTACTCGAATGAAGACTTCTGTTTATGAAGGAACACAGTGTGCCCCTGCTTCATTGCAGCAGCCCAGTACTGGGACTATGCCCATGGAGGCAAAGATAAAGCCCAGACCCATGATCCGTGAGTTGATTCAGACTTCGTAGAACTTCCCAAATAAGGTACCTCATCTTCTGTGGGGTAGCGGGTGAGTTTGAAACTTTGGCTAGCTGCCAAGTGCTTTAACTACAATAGCACCAAGGCCTCCTTGGAGGCAGAGATCATGTAGTTGTTGTTATGTGCCTTTGAGTTTGAACCGATCCAAAGATGACCCCAGTGTGGTCTGAGAGGTAGTAAATTGCACAGGAGTTGATCGGTCTACCTTTCTTCCATGGAGCAGCTGGTGAACTCAAACCTGTGTACCTGAGTTGGCAACAGCTCCTTGCCACTAAGCCACCAGAGCTCCCTGGAGGCTGAGATTGTTCTTGTTGTGCTGTGCCCTCAAAATGCTTACGACTCACAGTGACCCTATGTACAACAGCCCTGGAACCTGCTCTAATTCTGTGCCAACTTTATGATCTCTGACACACCTGCCCTCCTTACCCCAGTCACTGCATCAATCCTTCTCATTGATGGTCTCCCTCTCTTTCTCTGTCCCTCCACCCTTCCAAGTATGATGTCCCTCTCCAAGGTCTGGTCTCTCCTTGCAACATGCCTGAAGTATGTCAGACGGAGCCTCAGAATTCCAGGTGCAAATTCTCGGTCACCTGCATGAATGAGCTCCCTTCCTCCCCCGCCTCAGCTTGCCTTACCAACCCCCCAGAGTGTTGTGAGGGGATGTTACCAAGGAACCCCATAAGAGCTTGGTCACACTTGGAGAGGGTTCCCCACCCTTCTCCAACAATAGTATTCAAAAGTATGCCACAAATAGTTACTTCTGGTGATCACTAGTGTGTAAAGAGTGACGCATCTGAGGGAACGGAAGGCCTAGTTAACTGTTCCCTCACTTGCAGAGCCAACATTTCCATCTTGACTGGCATTCCATTTCCTTCTCTCATGCATTTTTATCTCTTCAAGCCACAGTCCAGTTTCATTGGCTAGTTACTTAGGAAGCTCACTGTTTCTCAGTGTCTGATTCTCAAGGGGATTGAGATTGTTTGCCTACATTAATGAGATTCTCTATCTGAACTTGGACCCATTATTTTATCTTGAGTGATGATCCACCCTTGTATTATCTCCTAAATGAAGGACTAAGAAACTCCTCTAAGGGCTCGGAGAGAGGCTGTAGTCACAAGGAGAGATGGTGGTGTTAGTTGTCATGTAGTGATGACCTTATTCACATATAACAGTATGAAGTGTTGCCTGGTCCTGGTCTTTAGCCATGATTGTTGGTGTCTTAGAAGTTGAGGCAGCACAAGTCAGTGGGAGTCTGAGCTTTGAGGCCCCTGATTCTAACACATTTAGAGAAAGTGGGAGTAGAAAAAACCACAGGGTGGAAACAGCTCAAAAAACACACAGAAGGTAATAAGAGTATCTGTTACCAGTGAGACTTAATTACTCTTTCCCTATACTTTCTATATCTCTCTCATTGCTCTGGACTTGGAACTGACTCATAGCTGACCCTCCACTGGGATTCCAAAGAGTTAAATCTCCTGGGAAAAGATTGTCTGTTTGTTTCTCACAATGTCACTAGAACTGCCAGAAAAACTTTACCCTCGTGTTAACAGAGTAATTCCCTACAAACTACACCACCAGTTTTCCTTCCTGCATCAGCATCTAGCAAGAATGGGGGAAAGAATAGGGTGTTAGAATCAAGAATGAAGTGACCTTCAGGTAAGAAGGCCAGCAGCAAAACACCGGGAGACTCAAAGCCTGCTGTGGTGTTTTAAGCATGCAAGGAAAGGTTCATAATATTTAAGGCCTGGGCCAGCTGTAAGGGTGAGCTGATTAGCCCGTCTATATCCAAGTTCTGGCTGTTTTTCCAATTAGAGCATTGTTTCTGGCAGCCCACTTAGGACAGATTTCTCTCCTCCCACTGAAAGTCTGGCAGAGCTTTGATCTCTGGACTCCAAGGACCAGATGACCGCAGCAAGGATTTGTGACTTTGGAGGGAGAAAGGGATTCTGCTAATGGCTAATTCACCACCCAGTCCCACACATTGATCCACTTCTTTGGTCAGAACAACAGTTGGATTTCATTCTGCCTGAATTTCCCTGGGACATTCTGGTGGTGTCAATCAGACTTAACCAAAAGATTAGGAGTTTGAATCCACCATTGCTCTATGGAAGAAAGATGGGCAGTCTTCTCTCACAAAGATTTACAAAACCCTAATAGAGGCTCATTCTGAGTTGATCGTTGCTGTTGTTGTTGTTTTTGTTGTTATGTGCCATCAAGTCACCTGAGACTCATAGCGACCCTACATACAACAACCCTAAGCCCTGCTCTATCCCTTGCCAATCTTATCAATCCATCTCATCGAGGTCATCCTCTTCTGTGGTGTTTCTCCGCCCTCCCAAGCATGAGAGCATTGGATTCCCTCTCCAAGGACTGATCCTGCTTTATAACATGTCCAAAGTATGTCAGGTGAAGCTTTAGAATCCTCGCCTCCAAGAAGCAGCCCGACTTCACCCTCTCTTGGTGAATGCATGGTATATTCAATACTCTTCTACAGCATCACAGCTTAAAGGCATCAATTCTCCTTCTGTCATCCCTAGTCATTGTCCAGCTCTCTGATGCATAACAAGTGATTGCAAAGACCATGGCCTGTATCAGGTGCACCTTAGTCTCCAGACTGACATCATTGCTCTTCAGTACTTTGGAGAGGTTTCTGACAACAAACTTTCCCAATGCAATTTGTCTTTTAATTTCCTGGCTGCTGGTACCAAGAGTGTTGTTTGTTAGGGGTTGTTTTTTGGGGAGTTTGGGGGAGGGGAATGTTTCCTTATGTGCAGTCTACTAAGTTAAAGGAGTCCAAGCTCCTACCAATCGAAAGGTTAGCGAGTCAAGTCCACCTCAAAGTGCCACATAAGAAAAAAAAAATCACCAAAACTCAGAACCGACTCATAGCTGACTCTCCAGTGGTTTTTTTCAAAGATATAAATTGCATGGCAGGAAATGACCCATCTTTCTCCTATGGGACAGCTAATAGATTTGAACTATCTTTGGGTTGACAGTGTAACTCCTTGCCCGCTAGGTTACCAGAGTTCCGTAACTAGAGAAGAAAGTCCTGGTTATCTATTTCTAAAGAATAAGTCATTGAAACCCCGACTCTGACACAAGTAAGGGTACCATGAGGTAGAGTTTATTTAATGGCAACCAGAGTTTGTTTTCCTATGAAAGACTCTTGACAACACTGGTAAAGATTAAGCTTTGGTTTACCAGGTGAAACTAGGCCCAGAGAGGGAAGCGATTTATCTCAGAGCACACAGCTGTGACAGGCTT